CATCTGCTGCTAATAATGTTACAGGTGTCGCATGTTTTATCGTAAAAGGTTATCCATTATTCTCTTCAGTTAGTCTTACCCCCTCATGTCAGTCAAGACTTGAGCAAATTTATAATTCGTCAGATATAAATACTTGTATTCCTTTTAGCCAACTCGCTTCTTTATTATCTCAAAGCAACCCTTCTTCCGATCGTACTAATTTATTCAATACTGTTTGTTTGCCAAAGTGCAGTGATACTTTTATATCATCGACTCTCTCAAGTTTCAAAACAGATTGTACATCTGATCTTGCTGCAAATAATCCTGCCGTTTTTGGCGTTGAACTTTTATTTACTTTTTATTCCCCATTAATATCTTCATATTGTTTTAAAAATACTACTGGAGGGTCATGCCTTTTTAAATATCGACAAGATTATGCGACATTTGCTGGTGCTGGCGTGTCTCCTGCTAATACTAACCCATTAAACTTTACCATATTACCTGACATTACAAATGTTCCTTCTTCAATTGTATGCACTAATTGCGGAAAAGCTTTGGCAAATGTTTTTTTAAATTTCTTGGCTTTAAATCCTGGTGATTATGCTATTTTAGGCACAAGTCAAAGTGAAATGAATGATCGTAAACTTCAATATACTGCAAAATGTGGTTCTTCATTCCTTGGTAAATTAATTCTCTAATTATTTACTGTATTATTTGATTTTAGAATGTCACATCACATCTTTTCTTTTTTCTTTTTAGATGGTAATATTCCTGACACTGCATCAACGTCAACTTCAACCCCAAGTCCCGAGAAAAGTTTTTTTGATAATCCATTATATAAAGGATTAATTATTGGTGGTGCTGCTCTTATTGTTGTGTTAATAATCACTTGTATTATTGTCGGGTGCATTATTCATAGAAAAAAGAAGAATAAATCATTATTTTATATTCCTACGCCAGGATCAAATGAAACTAGAGATGTGGAGAATAAAGAAATGGGAACTAGAGAAATAGGAACTAAAGAAGCAGAAATAATCTAAATTCAAAATTAATTTAAACTCTTTATAAATATAATCATATGTATTATATTCAAACGTATATATAATCATTTTTAAAATCATAATTTAGTCTAAGTTATTAAATCAAATAAGCTCATAATTGGCGAGAATATTCATAATATTGTAAAAGCCCAATAACTAAATTAGACCTGAATAATATGTATTCTTCATTCAGAGAACATTGTAACTGATTGACTAAAAACAATATTTTTCATCAATAGACAATTATGTAACTAAGTTAATATAAAGAATACAAAGATTAATCATTAAATTCTATTTCAAATTTAGTGGAGTTAAAGTATTATAGTAATATTAATTGGCATTCCATTTGGTTGTGAAAAATTTTAACTATTATATTCTTTATTTTTAGCAAAGTTCTGAAATTCTAAATTTTGCAAATATTTGCAAATTATAAATATAAATACATTATTAGTACTAAATTAGCAATTTTAATTTTAATAATTTATTATTATAAATTTATTTAATTAAATATCCAATAAATTAGTTAAATATTGGTAATTATTGCCAATATTAGTATTTTATTAGCATAGTAATTGGCAATAAAATTAAATTGTAGTAACAAGGTGCTGAAAAAGTACTTACTTTTGACAAAAATAGGCATTTGATATTACATTATCAGCACTGTTAAATAGCTTATTTTTGGCAAGCTCAATTTTGATAGTTTTGTAAAGTTAATTTATATTATATAATGGTGCTCTCAAATAAAAAAAATTTAAAACATCTAAACACAATCAGGTTAAACATTAGCAATAATTACCAATTTATACTACTAAAATAATTTAATCTCAAAAACTTTAAGATTAATTTTAATGCTTATAATTTTAATATCTAACCTATATTAAACCTTATTCTCTAAACAACTAGCATGATTACCCAAATCATTTACGTAAAAATATAATTATTACTCAACATTATACAAATTTTCAAGTGATTTGGTTATCAAAATTTTTATTATATTAAATTATATGCATTTAAACTCCGTACGTGAGTATGGTGTTATGCTAAGTTCGTCTTATCATCTGGCCAACCCATCACCATGACACATTTCGTGTACTTATTCCTATTGATATAGTTATCAGGAACGTATGAACTTATTTTTACTGGTATAAGTCATCATTTATTTTAGGAATCATTTAATGTCAGATGCTTATTTTGTTATCCGCATTATTCATTTTCAAGTACTTCGATTAAAAACTTTTCTTCTCGTTATAATCATTTATTTTAAAAGAGCAAACATAGTAGAAAACTTTCGAAACTTAAACAGGTGATAAATCAGTTATATCCTGAGCAGTTGGAACCAGGGATGGTAAATGACCTGAAATGACCCAAATGACCCAAATGACAAATGACTAGTCATTTGTCATTTCAACGTTCAAATGACCTTAGAAGGTC